GGGGGGGGGGGGGGGGGGGGGGGGGGGGAGGAGGTCACCCTCCGCATGCTGCTCCTGCCTGCAACCACTGCTCCTGCAGCTCCCATTGGCTGGGAACAGGGACCTGTAGCCAATGGGAGTTGCAGGGGTGGTGCTTGCAGAGAGGGGCAGCGCACGGAGCCATGTGCCATCCCCCGCTCCCAGAGGCTGCAAGGGGACGTTGGCCCCTTCCGGGAGCAGCGTGGGGCCGGGGCAGGCACGGAGGCTGCCTTAGCATGGCTTGCTACCTGGTGAGAAGCTGCACCTCAACCCCCAGCCCTGAGCCACCACCCTGAACTCCTTCCTACACCCCAAACCCCAGCCCTGACCCCCCTCCCAGAGCCAGCACCCTTTACCCCCTCCTCCACCCCAACACTCTGCCCCAGCCCGGAGCCCCCTCCTGCACCCAAACTCACTCCCAGAGCCCACACCCCCTCATACACCCCAACCCCGTGCTCCAGGCTCAGCCCAGAGCCCCCACCCACAGTGCGAACTCCTCAGCCCCAGCCCAGAGCCTGCATCCCCTCCCAAACCCCTACCCCAGCCTGGTGACAGTGAGTGAGGGTGGGGGAGAGCGAGTGACCGGGGGGGGGGCAGGAGTAGAGTGAGTGGGGCGGGGCCTTGGGGGAAGGGGCCAGGCAGATCCTGGGTTGCCCTTAAATTCAAAAAGTGATCTTGGGCATAAAAAGGTTGGAGACCACTGAGATAGACAAATCCAGACTGGAAATAAGGTACACATTTTTGAGTGAGGGTAATTAACCATGGGAATAATTCACTACGGTCATGGTGTATTCTCCATCGCTGACAATTTCTAAATGAAGATATAATCTATCTTTTAGTAAGATATCCTAAGAATTATTTTGGGGAAGTTCTATGGCCTGGGGAGGTCAGACTTGAGGATCAGACTGATCCTTTTTGGCCTTGGAATCTATAACATCTTATTTAACACATCACTGGAACATCAGTGACCAAATACAGAAAACAGAGAACTACCAAGGCTTTACCAGCATATCTGATAACATATATATGTAAAATTAAAGGCTAATCCTCCTACACACATAAGAACGGCCATACTGGGTCAGACCAAAGGTCCATCTTGCCCAGTATCTTGTCTTCCGATGGTGGCCAATGCCAGGTGCCCCAGAGGGAATGAACAGAACACGTAATCATCAAGTTTTCCATCCCCTGTCGCCCATTCCCATCTTCTGGCAAACAGAGGCTAGGGACACCATCCCTACACATCCTGGCTAATAGCCACTGATGGACCTATCCTCCATGAACTTATCTAGCTGACACACACCTCTTAAGAGTGGTTTTAAATCTTAAATCTCTGGTGCAAGGGAGGCAAGAGACACCTTGACACATGCCAATTCCCAAAACAATGGGCAAGGACAATGTCTAGGCAATAAACAGGGTCCTCATTACATGAAAATATTATGCATCTGTATTGCTGTAGCACCTACGAACCCTAGTGATGGATATGAACCCCACTGTGCTAGGTGCTGTACAAACACAGAAAAAGACAGTCCCTGCCCCAAGCAGTTTACAATCTAAGTATAATACCTAATATAAGACAAGAGAAAATATATGGAGGAGTACAAAGTAGTAATGAGACACACAGAGGCAGTTTGGACTGGTGCATCACATAGGCAAAATATCAAGCTTGTGGATGTTCCTCATATTGGGAAATCGTGAATCCTTTTATAATAAAGCGTATGATGCTGTTCACATGCATTCCTGGGCAGCCAACTTAAAGGAGCACTGCAATTTCAGAGCAGAGGTCAACAGGAGGAGCAATTCTGAGTTGCATGCTTTGGTACTGCAAAAAACCCGATAGTCCCTGTCTGCAGAACACTGATGTGTCTGCACACATGGAATATAGAGATCAGATATACATTTTAGGCTATCCAGTCCATCTCATTGCCAGTGCAGATACATACAAGAAAAAGTTACGTTCTGGTACTTCAGAATCAGAACCTCCTGAGAAAAGTAACAAAGATGATTATGGGGCTTAATTTGGCATTGAGTAACTGAATGAGGTATTTTTTGAGAGAAGAATAAAAGAATCAAGTATGTATCAGTATGGCTAAAACAGGAGAAAAAGTAAGAACTGTTTAGAATGGTAGAGAATGTATTTATAATCAAGAGTAACGGGGTGATACTGCAAGTTAAGTCCCCTCCAACTGAAAACTTACCTAGTTTGTGAAATACAGTATTCCAGATAAAAAGAGCATATGTACCTCCCCTCTGTACCTGCACATACTTTTACACGGGAAACTCTTCTGGTTATTTATTGGGCAATTTACCCCATGTGCACGAACTGTGCTAACTACACAAATAACATTGCAAAGAAAAAAGAACTATAGACCAAATATTAGAAAAACAACTTCCTAAAAGGGAGACTACTAGGGAAATGGTTACAGCCCCAACACTTGGAGGATTTAAAAACTAGTCTGGATAAAACACTGAAAAAGTTACAGTAAGGAAAAAACCTGTAGCGACTTCCAGGAAGTAGACCAGGTGTCGGCAACCTTTCAGAAGAGGTGTGCCAAGTCTTCATTTATTCACTCTAATTTAAGGTTTCACATGCCAGTAATACATTTTAACATTTTTAGGTCTCTTTCTATAAGTCTATAATATATAACTAAACTACTGTTGTATGTAAAGTAATAAGGTTTTTAAAATGTTTAAGAAGCTTCATTTGAAATTAAATTAAAATGCAGAGCCCCCCCTCCCACCACCAGACTGGTGGCCAGGACCCGGGCAGCGTGAGTGCCACTGAAAATCAGCTCACGCCTTTGGCACGCGTGCCATAGGTTGCCTACCCCTGAAGTAGACTGACTGATCTAATACGTCTTTTCTATCTCTTAAATTCTATGGACCACATTCGTCTGGTGTAATTCCACTGACTTCAGAAGTCAATGGAGACACACCACAAATTAACACATCTCTATGAATGTCAGTCTCTTGTCACAGTTCTGACCCAAATAAAAACTACTAGAGCCCACTCAAATTCATGTAAGAGGAATCTTATGCTTATGAGTTTTTATAAATTTAAAATTTCAGTTGTGTTCCAACACATTTTAATTAATCGTCAGTTAGCAAACAGAATTGTAGCTTCTTATTTAGTCACTTGTTTCGGTACATGATGAACAAGGCTGCGAATCTTTCATGGAGGTCACAGATTCCGTGACTTTCCAGGACCTCCATGACTTCCGCAGCTGCAGTGGCTGACCCTCACCGGCCTCTACTGTGGCAGCCCCAAGCAACTGATCCCAGGCGCTGCCCCAGAGCAGCAATCCCAGAGGGGTGGCGGTGGAGCCACGGGCCATCCTGTGGCCTGGAGTGGTGGGGCCACAGGCCATCTCACAGCAGCAGGCTGCCCGGCCCCCCACTTCCCCGGGAGCAGCAGCGGGGCCACATGTCACCTGCCCTCCTCCGGAGCAACAGCAGCATGGCCCTGGGCCGCCACCCACCCCCAGAAGCAGCAGCACCTGCTGTAACACCGCCCCTCCACTCCAGCAGCTAAGAGTTAGTTAGCAGTATTTTTAGTAAAAGTTACTGACAGGTCACTTGCCATGATTTTTTGGTTATTGCCTGTGACCTGTCCATGACTTTTACTAAAAATACCCGTGATTAAATCTTAGCCTTGGTGATGAATTACAGGCTACGTTCAAAGTAATCCCCAAACCCAAGCTATATATACACAGTAGTTACAAAAGGTGTGCATCCAAGGAGGATTTGCAGCAACCAGATAAAGAACAGTGTTCAATTCAGATATTTCTAGGCCAGAAACTTTGAGGACATCAACATAGCATGCTGCAAGCAGAACAAGAAAATAAAGTTTTAACCAAAGCCACTATGATAAATCTCAAATTTTAGAAAAATCTTGAGATTTTACTACCCAGACAAAACCTTGATTTTTAAATGCTCCTCTCAGGCCCACACATCCAGTAAAATGCATGGAATATGCTACCAAAGGAGCAGCATAGTACACTGCAGATTTGAACCTGCAACCTTTATATTAGTCTGCAATCCCTACTGACTTGCCTGCTTGAGAACCAATTACAAGAAGTGCAGCGCGTTATACAAACAGTACATACTGATAGCAGAGCAGATCTAGACAGGTGTTTCCCATCCTCTGCTAACTACACACCAAGAACCAGAGTCCCTTGCTAAGTTAGTACAAAGTGGACCGATCCTTCAGCCCAAAATGACGAACCTCGGCCATTGCTCGGGCAGTGACGTCTGGGCGAGTTCTGCTGAAGTACCCCCTGCCCCAGCGCATGGCTACGCGGGCGGCGGAGGGGGCCGCACAAGCCACACGGCACCTAGTCTCACAGCCTACGGCTGCTCCCACTTCGCTGCTCCCCCGGGGCGGACAGTCACAGCGGCCTTCCCCGTCCCCTCGGGGCCCCGCCGAAGGAAGCCAATGGCGATCGGCGCCTGTTCCGCGGCGGGGCCCGGTAGAGACTAGGGCCCGCTGTCAGGGTGGAGGTTGAGGGAGGCGCGGGGACTGCGAGGCCCGGCCGAGTCCCCTCCACCCCACACTGTGGGCCGGCGGCGCTGGGGTCCAGCCCGCGCTAGGCCTCGGACGCCAGGCCGCTCCCCGGGCCCTCTCCCCATGGGGATCTCCCCGTGGCCGGCTCCCCCGGCCGCACCGCGCAGTGCCCCGGGGCAGGCCCGCCCGGGTATAAATGCGGCTCCCTCCCTCTCCCCTCCTCACCATTGTGGTCCATGATTCGGCGCGGGGCACTGTGGGAGCGGAAGTCACCGCGCCGGAAGGGCGGGGCCGGAAGCACCTGGACAACGGAAGCGGAAGGTGTGCTGTCAATGGGGGGGGTGAGGTCTGCACAAAGGAGAACCGAACTGAGCCGCGCGTGCCCAGGGGAAGTTGCTTCGGTGGGCAAAACGAATAGGTCCCGTGCAAGCTACAGCTCCCAGTGTGCACTGCGGCCGGACCGGGGACTGTAGTTACCAGCATGCTTTGCGGGCGCCACCGGCTCATGTTGGCACATTTACTCTTCATTGAAGGCCTGTCTTGGCCCATGGCATGCCGGGAGTTGGAGTCCCACCATGGAGTCTCCGCTACGGCCGGCGGTGTGGGAGGCGCTCTGGTGGGCCGCGCGCGGGGCGGCTGCTGTGGGAGCCCGCGGCGCGTCTGACAAGGGCCCCGGCCGGTTAGGGGTGCGGGCCCGTCGGGGTCCCTCCAGTGGCTCTTTCGAGCTTTTGTCCGCAGTTACGTGATCTAGACACGGATTCTGGGCTCTGACTGAATGAGGAGAGTCTCCCCGCATCGCGCGGCTCCGGCATCTGGTGCATTATGGAAAACACCAAAGGTTGCAGGCCTGGCAGTGAGTGAGCAACGTGCCCCCCAAGGCTCACAGGCAGCGCGTCCCCAGGCTCCAAATCTGCTTTCTGAACCAAGCCTGGGCCTGAGGGGTCCTGTAGCTCTTCTCTGACCTCCCTGTGGTTTGTCAGTATCTTTCCGGTGTACACACAGAGATATTTCCTTTGCAGGAGTCACCTAAGGGAATGTCACCAGCTACCTTAGGTATGTAGTGCATCTGCAGTCTAGAATTAGGGCTGTCAATTCATCACAGTTAACTCAGGCGATTTAAACAAAATAAATTAACTCAGTGAAAAATAATTGCACTATTAAACAATAAGAGAATACCAATTAAAATGTACTATAATATTTTGTATGTTTTCTATCTTTTCAAATGTTTTCAATTACAACATAGAATACAAAGTGTACAGTGCTCACTTTATATTTTTGATTACAAATATTTTCACTGTAAAAAAGATGAACAAAAGAAATAGTATTTTTCAGTTTACCTCATACAAGTACTGTAGTGCAGTCTGTTTATCGTGAAAGTGCAACTTACAAATGTAGAATTATTTTTCCACATAACTGTACTCAAAAATAAAACAATGTAAAACTATATAGAGACTACAGGTGCACTCAGTCCTACTTGTTCATCCAAGTTTGTTTACATATACAGGAGATAATGCTGCCCATTTATTTATGTCACCTGCAGGTGAGAACAGGCGGTCGCATGGCACTGTTGTAGCCAACGTTCCAAGGTATATACGTGCCAGATATGCTAAGCATTTGTATGTCCATTCATGCTTTGACTTATAGATTGCACTACCTTTTGTTTCTTTTTTACGGTGCAAATATTTGTAATTAAAAATAATATAAAGTGAACATGCTACACTTTGTATTCTGCATTGTAATTCAAATCAAGCAGGTGCTGGCAGGAAGCAGGAGGAGGTCTGGGGGTGGGTGGGGCCATGCTGTTTGGGGAGGCTCAGCCTCCCCAGACCTTTGATACCCACTGCCCATGATAGGAATCTTGCCTGCAGCCAGGCCTTGGAGGAGTTTCAGTGCGTGGAGACATTTCCTGCACAAGATCGTTGAGAAATCACCGTAGAGTCTACGGATGGTGCTAAAGAGAGTGGCCACAACTGCAGAGCCACGAATCCACAGCAGCTGTTCTGCAGCTTTTAGGGGGCTCATGGCTGATGCTGTTTCAGTCATTTGCTCACAAGCGGCCTGTGTTTTGATCTATCTAGGGGGCAAACTAACAGTAGGAGAAACTGTTAGCTTCTCATGTAAGTGTATTTTAAATTCAACTAAGGTCAAAATAGTAACAATTCCCACTAAATTCAATTCAGTGGGAGTCTTTCCAGTGACTATTGCCCAATTCGATCGCCACCCTACAATGAGGGAAGCTGGTATGAAAGTGATAACATTTCTGAGAACATTAAAGAGATAAAATATGGGGGGTGTTTTTCAGTTTGCACAACGTTTATTCCTTAGGTCACTGACAACATTCCTGTAAAATACAGCACCTTTTCTAGACGGTAAAAAGATTAATAAAATATCTCTGTCTTTCAAGGTAAACCTTTGACATACAGAGATCTAACAGTATTAATAGTCACAAAATGCTTAGAAAAATGCCATTCCTGTATTATGCTTGAAAAACAAGTATATCCAGCGGTGCTTCTGAGGGGTTTATGCATGAGTGCAAAGTTCTGCAGGGTTTTAGTTATATTGTAAAATACATTACTTTGGTATCCTTCATATAAAAATAAGTATGTCTCCCCTTGCATCCCACTCCATCCCCATTGAACAGAAGTATTTGAAATTTTCTTCATGATGTCTATTGTTGTTCTTAGAGCTTGGATGGGTGTAGTAAATTAAGAATGTAATGGAAACCCATGAGAACATTCTTATCTGGATAACTATAAATATACTGTACCAGTAAACTCAAAACAAATACAAACATGACTCAGATAATAAGTGTATATGCAGCCCATGAGTGTGAATAATTGTCCTATACCCCCATTCTGTATTAATTCATCCTGGTTAAAAAAATCATATTTTAAAAGGAAAATGTATTTTTAAATATCCTTGTATTTTATTATTACTCTTCTTAAATGCTCAGGCAGCAAAAATGCGAGACAAAAACCAAAATACTGGATCCAAAGCGACTTACATTTGAGGAAAGTTTGGATCAGAATTCAAACTTCAGAGTGAAGGCCGATCTCTAGCAAGACAAGTATGTTCTACCAGTATCACTCTATTATTTCGTGATATTCCTTATTACATCTTCCTCAGAAAAATAAAAGCCCAAATGGCTTCTAACAATTTTCAAGTTAATCAAAATATTCCGTATTTTGTAAGTGTTTACAGTTTGTTTTATATAAAGGTATATAAAATGGACAACAGTTGATGAGAAGTAATGTTTCTGAGGGAAATTGGCCTGATCCTTCATTGTTCTACACACAGCACTTCCATTGACATCAGTGGCAGTTTATTTGAAACTCAATTCTGCCACCATTTTCAGATCAACATACATAAGAGTAGCAGAGTCAAGCTCTGAGCAAATTTGTGAATGTGGAGATCAGTCCTGCAAAGGGCCGAGCACTCTAGCCTGACCCAATGAAGCACTAAGCACTTGAATAGTCCCATTGACTCTACTCATCCTTAAATTTAAGTATGTGCTTGTGTTTTGCTGGATTGGATGAGAATGCTCAACACCTTGCAGGATTGAGCCCTTTGTGCTTTTGAAAGTAGTAGTAGTAGTAGTAGCCTATTTGACTGTCCTGAAAATCCCTTGTATATCCAATAGCATCACACTGTTATGCCAGTGTTTCAGCTCTGCCAGAAAAAGGACCATCTCTGGGTAAAGGCCCAATCCAACTCTCGGTGAAGTCACTGGGGGTCTATCAACTGACTTTAATGGAGGTTCAGCAAGGTTCTTAGAGATATAATCTGTGCTACTTAGTGCTTGGCTTCCCAGCTGAGACTGCCAATTAATGCCAGTTGTGATGGTGGTAATTTTCTGTGTGCAATGTGTGTGTGTTTGGTCCCATTCGAAATTTTGTGTGATACTTTAATTACACATTTTATTTCACTGTAATTTTAATATGTGAAGATACCAAAATGATCACAAAGTTTAGACCATAAATGTGATGTAATCTAGAAACCTATGTATTGTAAGGTCTACGTATGGTTTTTATGGCATGTTTTTTCAACATTGTATATTGGTAGTTGCCACAAGGAATTTCAGTTTTAAAACTAATTTATTTACAATTTAATTTAATTTTTAATGTAACAATTTGTGTAATGTTTCATCTAAACATATAATCATTACATGGGAACAATCATTTCTTACATAGCCAATATAAAGCCTTAAAAACAGAAGTTAAAAAGATTTTCTTGTAATCCTTTAAATTTTGTGTAAATTATTGCACTAGGGGATTGTAGCATAACTTTTAAAAGTACACATTTTTTAGAAGAATAGATGCAGTTTGTAGAGTATTAAAAGAATGAAACAGTTTATGCAGATAATTCTTCATTAAACCAATGATACTATATAATCCCATTTCAAAAACCAAACTAGATATTAAGTCAGATCTTTACTCCAGTTTTATAGCAGCCTATTCCACAAATTCCATTAACTTCAATGGGACTATTTGTAGAGTAAGGTACTGTTCAATCTATATAGGTTTAATTTCAGTAATGATTATTAACCAGGAGTGCATGAGTTACTAAAAATAGCACTAAAGAACCAAGACTCTTAAGTAATAGTCCCTCCTATTGAGCCTTATCCATATATATGGTTAACATTTTATAGCAATGTAGTAAACAGTTTTGAGTGAATAAATTTTACCTGTACTCCATTTCTGTTATATAAGGGATTTTTTATATTGAGACTGCAATACTGCAACAAACCCAGGAATTATTTTGAATGACTAATAGATAAATTTTAAAGACGTGTGTTGAATGCAGCCGTGTTAACGTCCTGCGAAACTAATTGCATGGGATTGCAGATCCTTTTGCAGGTCAGGGCCTAGGGCTGCTACTGCCTATTGCTTCTCTTTTGTGAGGAATTTATTATTTGTATTACAGTAGCACCTTGAGGCCTCCCATCAGGGTTGGAGCTCCATTGTGCTAGGCATAATACAAATACATAAGAGACAGTTCCTGCCCCCAAGAAGAGCTTACAATCTCCTCAACCCCTGGGGCCGAGTTACCATAAAGAAGCTATTTTTTTCCTATATGCATTGATATACCAGTGGGTTATAGACACAGACCGACAAACCCTAAAACTAGCTGCAATTTCTGTAATAGTTCTGATGATCTGCCTCCCATATCTTGCCAACACTGATTCTATGAACACATTTTTCTGATCAGACTTGACTGTTTCAAGGATTACATGTCAATAGACAAAATTTGGAGATTTACAGAGATCTACAGAGTTCAGACAAAGAAAAATTAGTGTTTTCTTCAAGTGCAAAGACAAGTCCCAGTGCAGAAAACGTTTATATAGTATTGGTGCCTGAATATTGCCATGGAGTCCAAGATATGCGTAATAGTTTTCCTTCATGAAGCAAGTCTGCGCAGGGCCTAATGAAATAAGTTTTAAAAGATGGGGGATGGTGAGAGGGAAATGGGTGATGAGTTCTGTGTACACACCATATTTAAAAAAAAAAAAAAAAAAAACTTTTGCACATATATTACTATACAAGCAAGGGGTTCAGTGCTGGCTGACTGAGTCTACCAGGAAATAATTTTAAAAGAGGCTGTAACCTGAAGCCATCTCTCTGGTTGGCAGCTTCATCTCAGTAGTCAGTCAGGGAGATGACCTACACCCAGTAAACACTGGCTGTCAAGTAGCAGGTTGAACCCTCACAAAACAGTCAATCTGGAGTCAGGCTGTTTCTTCTTCAGTCCCTGAGGTAACTTAAAAATGTTAGGGGTAAATTATGGCTTTTAGAACTGGCTGGTGGATGGGGAGAGCAATTTCAGATGAAAGCATTAAGCCTCTGTAGGGTAGAAGCAGGCATAAAACCTTGTGGGTGCTGGAGGTGGAGAAGCGTGAATACATGTGGCACCTGCTACACCTTCAAAAAAGATTCATTGTGACTTCCCTCACTAGCATTGACTTCTAGGTGAATAGGGAGGGCAGACTTTGGGCATCCCACAACCCACTCTTTGGGTGTGCCACAGTCAATATTTTGCCTGGATCAGCCAGTCAGCTGCCAAAGTGTGTAGAGCCCACAAGGCTATGGTGTTTTGTTTTGTTTTTATTTATTTTATTTTTTCTTGGTTGGCCCCCATGTATCAGCACCACTCATACCGCTATAGTTAAGATAAATATGCATACATCATGGACATATGCTTTATTTAATTAAAAGGATAGCTCCATACCTCCTCCTGAACATCAAGTTCATCATCAAGCTTGCCTGTTTCTGAGAAATCTATTGGTTCCTTAGATTCCTGCATCAGTGAAATCTTAAGAGAAAAGTTAACAAGTATTGTGAACAAAATGAATGTTGCAACCGTACCAATAAAATTATGTTGCCATGAAAAGCCTTGGTGTTACTGCCTCCGCTCATAAAAACCTGCTGCTTACTCGTAATTAACAAAATTATTCTTTTAGCTGTTGGGGTAGAGACTTGTGCTTTTGATGCTGAAGGCCATGCTTGTAATCCTGGTGATGACTCAGTGTCTGTGTGTATGCAGCCATAGGTTAGTTAAAATGGTATGCAACCTTTTTAAATACATAAATACTGCAGAGTAACTCCTCCAGAGTCTGATATGACAAGCAAAAATGACCAAAAATTCAGGGTCTCATACTGCTGTATTTGTGAGAACAGTCACAACATTTGAAGGCCCCTGGTGGAGTGTATGGCCTTAATCAAGGCTGCATATTTAAGATGGGTGTAGGCAGAGCCAGTGCTAGGCATAAGCAGACTAAGCAATTGTTTAGGGCCCTCAGCAGCTCAAGGGGGGGCCCCTCTTAATTAATAGTGTGTTGTAGGGGGGTCCAAAAATATTCCTGCTTAGGGCCCCCAATGGGTTAGCACAGGCACTGAATGGAGGCAGAATTAGAACTTTAGGGCCTCCTTGTAATGTATGGAGGATTTGAATCAATCTGTTCAGTGTTCTAAAGTTTCTCAGGAATTGCAGGGAGCACTGGTTCACTACATGTTTGTGTTGTTGCAGAGGCGATGTGGGGCAGTGGGGGGTGGGGCGGGGCCTGGGCAGGTGGGGTCATATACCCCTCCTCCCTCAGATTTGTTGCTTGGTTGGACTGAGCATAGGGTGACCAGATGTCCCGATTTTATAGGGACAGTCCCAATTTGTGGGTCTTTTCCTTATATAGGCTCCTATTACCCCCTACCCCCGTCCCGATTTTTCACACTTGCTGTCTAGTCACCCTGACTGAGCATGCTCAGTAATGCTGCTGAAGCCAGTTGCCCTCACTCTTCACAAACACACCCATCGGTAGGCACAGGTATCTCTGGCTGTGCCTAGCACAATGGGACCTCAACCTGCACTACTGCAATATAAATGATACATAGTAATTAATAATCCTCTAACAGTTAGAAAAGATCTGCAGGCCATCAGATATACAACACAAGCTGTCCAGTTTATAAGCACCTTGTATGAACATCTTTTGCTTTTTTAAACAACTCTTCATCTAGTTCCTAAAGCTTTTTCCCTTTACCACAAACTGTGAAAACTATTTACAGCTAGTGTATGATACAGAAAAACAAATGATATATGGGCCTCACCTTTTCAAAAATAGGATCCTGGATGTCTCTGTGCATCATTTCATGCTGTATGTAAAGCACAGCATCATGGACAGTCAGGAAGAACATGTCTTTTCTGATGTTATCATCAAAGAAGCCACATTGTTCCAGCTTTGTTATAATGTTGTCTGAACAAAAACCAAAGTTATAAAAGACTGATACATTGGAAAATAATTGAAGAAATAAGTGTCAAAATAGAGATGAACAATTATCAACAATAAAATGTATAGACCTATAATTCTATCATAGTGGGTTCTCTCTAAGTTAAATTCATTTCTCCCCAAGACACCTTTGTACGCCTGCAGACACAGCCAGACACAGTTTAACTATTTATTTGTTTAAAAGAGCAGTTCAGTTCACTTTTAACTATATTTACTAAAAAAGTACTTCCACAGATCCAATCCACAGATCCTTTATTACTTTTATTCTATCCTTCATGCTGTGCATTAGTGATAATACATATATGTTTACCTTGATGTGATGCGATGTATACAGTCACATCAATTCTCTCGAACTCTTTAACTATCTGGAAAAAAAGGGGGTGGTTTGCAATAAACATTTTCTTATACACACATATTTAAGAAACAGTATTTGTATTCACAAAGATTAGTTACATTTTTCATTTTCCTTTGAGTATTTGAACCACAATCCCGAATCATGTGTTCTTTTATTCATAGGAATATAGAAATTACCAGACCCAAAGTCCATCTATTCCAGTATGCGGTTTCTGTCAGTGGCCAGACTTTGATTATTAAAGGCAAAGCTGACAGTGCCATCTATGATTATGGTTGCATGACACTATGGACATGCTCTGGGAATGAATTGGGGTTGTGCAGTATAGAAGGTTGTCTGTGGAAGTGGTTCTCAGCCAGAGGTCTGTGGCCCCCTGGGGGCCGTGAGCAGGCTTCAGGGAGTCTGTCAAGCTGGACCAGCACTAGACTCGCTGGGGCCCAGAGCGGAAAATAGAAGCCCCACTGCATGGGTCTGGAGCCCTGAGCCCTGTCATCCGGGGCTGAAGTCGAAGCCTGAGCAATGTAGCTTTGTGGGGGCCCCCTTTGGTGTGGGCCCCAGGCAATTGCCGTGTTTGCTACCCCCTAATGCCGGCCCTGGCTTTTATATGCAGAAAAAACAGGTGTGGCACACATGGAGTTTTTATAGCATATTGAGGGGAGTCTCAGAAAGAAAAAGGTTGATGGTCTGTGGGACCCCTGCCTCATTTGTTGCAGAAGTTGGAAGATGCATAGTGAATAAGGCAGAGGATTACAGGAACAGAAAAGAATTTTTTGCAGACCAACTGTTTGTTCCTCATTTTCTGGATGTCCAACTTAATAACCTGGGATTTGAATTGCAGAAATGCTGACCACTCAGGAACTGCAGTTGAAGTCAATGCTTTGAACATACCAAGTGCTATATAATGCTAAATTCTCTGAAAAATCAGGTCCTATGTGTCACATATTGGGCACCCACAATTAGTGGATACTTTTCATTTTAATCTCCCTGTGCCTCAGCTCCCCATCTGTAAAATGGGGATAATACCCCTCACCTCTCAGGGGTGTTGTGAACGTACATTGATTAATATTAGTGTAGTCAGATACTATAGTGCTGAGTGCTAAAGAAAAGTCCATGAGGAAGTTAATAGTTTTGTCTTCATGGCAAGGTGTGGGGTCCCATGCGGATAAAGCACACGACCAATGTGGTTGCAAGCTGACTCTGAATCCTGTTTATTACAAGCTTTCTTTTATAGTCTTTCTCAACATTACATAACACAATTAGGCTATAATTACACATTTACCGATTGGACAAGAAGGAGAATCATGTGTTTATCACATGTATAGCCCCACACCGATTGGTTCAACCATTCCCTACATAAGGCCTCATCTTATATAACCACCAGGGGGCCTTACATAAGGCCATGATTTATTACCTTGCAAGTGTCCCATCGTGACCCTTACCCTCTCATGGAACTTTACATCCCCACAGCAAGGTCTGAATAGTGTGCAGGAAATAAGGCATGGGGCCACACATTGAACAATGAGAATAAAACAAAATATTGAATAGCTTCTCTTTAAGTGAGCGCTGGCCATCCTGTGCACTGACTGAAGCAGGGGTCCCATGGAAAAAATATGCGATCATGTAAATTAAAGATAGTAGCAATGCATAGGCACAAGGAGCCCAAATTAAGGTTGCACGGGCATTCTAATTCTGGCATTTTCTAATGCTTAAGTGCTTGTCTTTACAACCTTAATAATGTTTTTATTATAGTTTTTTAGTTTCTAATTTATAAATAGACCAAAATCTACGTGTCACAAACCAACATACACTGGGAAACTCAAAATTAATTTCAGCCAACCTGTCCCTAATTAACATACCAATGACTAATACTGCACAGGAAAAAAAAAAGACTTACCATTCTCATTGTCCTCACGGCTACAACATCCAAGAATGATACACCTCCAAAGTCAAAAATTAAACTATGGATAGGCACTCTGGGGACATTCACTTTGACTGGGAGTTCTGAATTCCAGTCCACTTGGATCTCTACTTCTTTGGTTGGAATTTTAAGATCTTCAGGATCATCAAGATCTTCATCAGATTCAAAAGCTTCATTGGTAGTCCCAGAATCATTGATGATGCCATTCTAATCAGAACAGATAATATAAGAAATATATCACATAATCAGGGACAAAGATTTTGGAATTTTTCCATATTAGCTTATTTAAGCAATAATGACGGAAGCATTTTTTCCTCATTTCTTCACATCTGACTGATCCTGCACTAAATGACTTAAATGGAAACAAGACTGAGCCAATAATTAGCACTTCTCCCTGCATACAGTGTATTTTCTTTCCTGTGTTTTTGTTCATTAAGGGAGGAGAGCCATATGGGAAAACCACTGTCCAGAAAACAACTAACAAGCTTCCACTTGAGAACCTTACCCTATAGTATCTTTAGGGTTGATGTTTTTATTTTTGAATTATATGTATTACATTTATTGCAATAACAGTCCAAGGGTCAAGAGTTGTTGTCACTTACCTGAAAATTTCATCATATAAACTTGAAAGAATACAAAAATGTAGCATCCTGCAGTATAATATCTGGCAAAAATTGACACTTATTCCCAACCTTCAAATGTGGGGACTTCAATGGGACATCTACATTCCACATTTTGGACACTCATATAAGCACTTAATGGCATAAATGGCCATTTTACACTTAGCACAATAAATGTTGCCCCATTTAAGCAGCTGTGGAATGCCCTGTTGGCAGGAAAACCAATGCAATTCTTCTGCATATAGGAGGCAAAATATAAGGAGCCTGTGTAAGGGATTTACACTCTCTGTGCACCAGAATGCAGCTCTGAAGAGAATGCCAGTCTATAACTTTGTCAAACAGATGTAGGGATGAGGAGAAGGAGTAAAGGAAGGACCAGGTAATCCACTGCGTCCAGATCCACTGGCCTTTCTCTCCCCTCCCCAACATACTGTGGGCACAGCTGCCAATGGTCACTCCAACCTCAACCCCAAGGCTATAGTAGCAGCCATGGAGGAGTTCTACTGCTGCCTGCATGCTGGAGGGAAAGGATTTTTTCCCCCAGGCCCTGAAAATACTCTAGGGTAGAGTTCACTAAATGGGTCAAGTTCTGAAGATGAGGTTCAAACTGACACCTCATATTTGCGATTTGATTATCCTCTTCAGGTGCCTATGTTTGAACATATTGCCCATTATCAGGAGAATTGTCCAGTTAGTTAAACATGTTATCAGCAGTTAATGGCTCCCTCCCTAACGAGTACTGACCAGATGCATTTTGACTCTGAAGCAGCCATGATGTTCTATAAAGCTTCCAAGTTGCAGTGGTTTATGATTCATAGATTCATAGATTCTAGGACTGGAAGGGACCTCGAGAGGT